GTTAGGAGGAGGGGGGGGATAAGGCTGGAAGAGGCCTTAAGCTGCCTGCAATGTAGCTCTTAGAGCTTTTCTGATACTGGTGTTCAGAGCCTGGCTGGCTGCTGCCAAGTCTGCACCTGCAGTGCTGCTTGATTGAAACTCTGCATGTATTCCTCTTAATAAGAACAAATAAATAATATCTTCTGTTATTTACCAAACACCAGGATTACTTCAAAACCACAAGCAGCAATCCCTCTTCTGTGCTAATATTCTGTCATTTCTGCCTCATGCACGGGGGATGCTCAGGCTTCATTCCTCAGCAGAAATGCAATCTATATATCTATGCTTTACCTCTGCTTTAACATGCTATTTGGAACCCTTACTCAAAATACCTATCTGGTATTTTGATTATGAATTGTCACATAAACAGTGATTGATTAAAATAATTTACATAGAAGCATTCATGGTGTTCCTGAGCAAGGGAAAATACACAGAAGCACATGGCACTTAATTACATTGCTTAACAATAAACATCAAGTTAAACCTTTTTTTAAAAAGATGAATGCTATACTTAAGGAAAGTGCAATTACATTTACATGGTTTGAAATGTCTTACACACTGTATGTATTAGGCAAAGATATTAACACTTCTGTACATGCAAAGGTGCTGACAGATTTCAGATGCTACAAGGCAGGCTTTTGTAACTGCTGTCCGCTTATTGCTTGCAAAGGGAACTAATTTAATGTAATGTGCTGTTAATCTGAGCTCATTTACTTGTATGCAACTGCATTTGCATACAGACACTTCTCAGAGCTGATTGAGAACATGGGGACTAGTGGTCCTGATTTGGTAAATTGTTGCATATAAACAGGATTTGCATTCAAATTAGTGTTTTATATCACAGCCTGATTATACGTCCCATTTTAATAATGTTGAATGAATGGCAATAGTAGATTTCAGAAAGCCACTCCTCTGATTATATGTTCCAATTCTAAATTTAATTAAAAATGTCTCGCCTCCCTTTTTTTTCCTCCTTTGCTGAAATTTAGTAACAGAACTGGAATTTCTTCTCTCATTAAATAACGTGTATGCTTCTATAACAAATCGTTATACCTTCCAAATTACATTCAATAATTTGTTTAATAAAAGACTGTAATACTGCTTGTGTATTCCTGTGGGAGGGTAATGGAGGAGCAACTGAACTCTACAGTGTTCACCGTCTCCTTTTTGCAGAATAGAAGAGAATAAGAAGTAGTCTACAGAGAGAAATGGGATGAGGTGCAGGGTTCCCCAACCTAAGTCTGAGCAAGTCTGTGTGTCCAGAGGACCCTGGTCAAAAACTACTGTGCAAAACCACTAGCCCAGTTCTTTTCAGCAATTACAGCTATGTCATTGTGGTGCAGCTCTCCATTCTCACCCTGAATTACAAATAAAAAAGAAGAGACTAAAATTGTGAGGATAACTATTTGACTACATTCAAAATAAAAACCATGATTAGTTTTAATGAGGAGTGGTTTTCCAATCTAGTTTGCCATCTGACTTCCACCAGTTCAGCGCCACAGCGGTGGCATAACTCAGAGAGGTGTGTGGAGGGTAGTTCTCACGCATATTCAACACGTGCACCCCTAGGCATCTTCACTGATGGCTTTTCTGAACTGATGTGACAGAAGCCTGTCTTCTGTCCTGCTTTGCACAGCAGCACATCCTCTCCACTGCTGCTGGGATGGTGCAGCTTCTCCATTTTTATGTGCTCAGATTTATAAGTATTATAATGGAGCACAATTGATTTGATAAAGACGGCTCATTTGGTTTTTTGCAATCTATGAATTTGAAGAAAATACATGGAATAAGATGGTTTCAGTGCTATAAATTAAATAAAGCATTATAATCTAATTGCACTGTGTGTTAACAGAGTATTTTTCCTGTTGCCTAGCAATGAGATTTACCTTGAGAGTCACCATGTGCTTAAGATTCCATTACTAACTTCTGGTTTAGAGGTCTATAACTTTAATAAAAATAATTACTCATAGGACAATCCAGAAGATGCATGTTGAAAGTTCTTTTTGTTGTTATGGGGTCACTTACGAAGGAAGCTTGAGGCAGAAAGCTCTGGTGCCCTCTGATTTGTGTACCCCTTCTCCCATTCTACTCTACATGATACATTTTGAAAGTAACTTCTCAAGCAACAACTGTTCTGTATGTTTTTGAAGCAGTAAGCTCTCTGTGAAAGTGTTCTTTTACTTTAAAGGCTCTACATGGAGATGTTTTTACCAAGGCTCCAAGGTTGGAGGAGCAGATCCTCTGGTAAGAGCGAAAAGAAAAGTTACAGGACAGGCCCAGAAAGTCACAGCTTTTAGCTGTGGGAAAAAAACAGTGTATTTATTTTTTTATTCCTGTTACTTCTGATAAGGGTGGGGTTTGGATTGTCTTGCACTACTCCATTAGGCAGTGCTGTACCTAAAAGGTTGTACCTTGAAGTTGAGCTCATGGAGAAATGGGCTGAAAACTAGTCAATATCCAAGTTTTTTCAAGAACGAGGTGGTTTTGGTAGGCAAAGTGATTGGAAACTGTGTCAGAATGGTAGTAGTGCTATGTCACTCATAGATGTGTTTCAGGACTGCATCTTGCTGCAAGGCAGAAAACAACCAGTTTGTTCATTGTTTCTGTAGAAGTATTTAAGGAAGGAGAATATGATTACTGGACTTGTAAATTTGGACTTAACAAAAGATGCTAGGATCAGCCTTTATGAAGGCATGGCAGGGAAAAAGGTATTTTGAGTTAATCCTTTTTAAAAAGTAAAACCCTCTGTACTTTAGCATTTCAAAATGGTTGTGATTATTATGAAAGACTTGGGTTTGTATATTAAGATTTATGCACTTAACTGTTTTGAGAGGATATGTATGCGTGTTTAGCTGGGGATCTTTAAGGAACTTGACTTCATGTTGTAAACTACTGCTTTTTAGTATCTATGTAATTTCAATTTGTCACCTTTATAATGGTTAATTTTTAATTAAGGAACATAGAAATTTAAAGTTCATGCCTTCAAGTGAGCAAAGTCATTTTCATTGGAAAGGGAGGCTTTCATCAGCACTGGCATTTATTTTGCTTTATAACTAAGCAAGATCAGTTAAGAAAAACACAAGTAAAAACCAGATTTTTTTAGCTAAACAGGCTTCTCTATCCCATGCTTCTGTTTCAGTACAATACATTTTTGCACATATATGTAATTTTTCTTTGGGGTTATGTAGTCTCAATATGACTATGAATGCTGATTACTTTTAGAAATCTGCTAGGTATATGCCATTTTTGTTGACAAAATACAGATATTGTAAAATAATATAGTACTATAGGTAATAGAGATCCATATTAAATGTGGAAAAGTGCAGTGTTTGCTGTGGTTAACTTAAGTAGCGTTTCCTGTTTAGCCAGGCTGTCTGAGGCACCATTTGGTGCTCCCGCTGCAGTTGTATAGAACATGAGGAAAGGGAGGTGTGCCTGAGAGTCCCTAATTTAGATGTCTAAAGTTAGAATTTGTAACTAACCTTCTCCATCCCCCTTCTCCCATAAGTGCTCCGAAATCTTCCATCTTCATTAGTCTGCCTTGAAAAATTCCATTTCTCACTGCAGTGCTACATTGGGTTAGTGGTCTGGATTGCACATCACTTGTGCTTCCCCAGAAGATAATCATCTGTACAAGAACTGAATGAAAATGCATGAGTGTGTTCCCCTGACAGGGTCTAACACTTCAGGACAATAACTGGGGGACTGACAAAATGTCAATTGTTTTTGCTGTTAAAATGGCTCTGAGGGAATGTATAAAATAAAAGAGCAAGTAAAATCCTGCTCTTGTTTGGCATTTTCCTGTATTAAAGCAGTTCATAGACTGTTGTATCTTATATCTGTTGTATGAATTGGAAACATACGATATAATTGCATTAGGCCTGTGTGGAGAGAAAAATGACGGGGAGATATTTGTGGATCTGTATTTTTAATGTGGTTATGATTTCTAAAGTTTCTGTACTGCAGAGACAAAAGACCTTATATCATTACTGCTGGCTAGTAAGAATGCACTGGTACTAACCTGTGCCACGTCAGAATTGAATCGAGATAATGTTTAGACAAAGTATAGCTTGGCTTTATGTTATATAGAATAGACCTAGGACCGTTTCTGTTCTAATGAGGAGAATGTGCATTGCAGTACACAGTGCTCTAGAGAGAGCTATTTGGCTCTCTGGGAAATCTGTTGTGGTAAAGAATGTAAATAATCACAGCATTCTCACATTTGAGCCTCGTAGATATTAATGGTCACTTTCATTTGATGCCTAGCAACCAGTAAACTTTTTTTATCATGTGATGTCAGGTAAGTTGTAAGTTTGTATAATTATACCCGGTAATTTTCATCTAGCAAATCTGTTGTGGTTTTTTTTTTTTTTTTTCCTCCCAACAGCTTTTTTTCCCCTAGAAAAAATTCAGTACTAATAGCTCTCCATGTACGAATAACATTGCAGTAACACAGCAGAAAAAAATTACTAAAGATTTATATGTAGTTTTGAAGAACTGATAAGCAAGAAACATTGGTTTTAAATTAATGGAAACAGTTCCTAAGCCATATTTGTTGAACAAAATCCAGAATTTTAGCCTGAATTTTACCTAACATTTGCTTCTAAGCTGTGATTAAGCAACTGCAAAGTAAAAGTCTTAAATTAAGTTGTTGCTACTTTTTTGGGGAGGAAAGAATTCAATAAGGGTTATGCTTATAAGGTTGATAATAAAGTTATGCCCATAGTTTTGAGTGATCAGCAAAGATTGTATCTCTTAGAAGAATAATTTCTTGATCCTGTACTGAAAGTGTGACTAAAAGGGCATCTCAGTGTCATTCTTTTGACATGTCTTTGATTCACTTGTTTTACATTGTGTAATAAAAAAAAAAATTACATTTATTGCAGTCCTCCTTTCCTATAAAGTGCCTTAAAAAAAACCACTTCAAGCCTCCAACATACGTTTTTATTGTCATCTTCTAGGTTGACTGGGGTCAACTGGACTATTTAGTAATTGACATGCCACCTGGGACTGGAGATGTACAGCTGTCAGTCTCACAGAATATTCCGATTGCAGGTATGTGTATTGCGTGACTGTTTCAGAGATTTGAAGTTAGTTAAGTCTAGTAGCCTTAGAAAAATCTTACTTTAAAATGCCAGTAAAAAATTCTTTTATTTGTCTTTCTAACACACTGAGAAACTGTTCTGTCAGTAGTGTGGTGATGAAAAATACTATAAGTGATTTTTGGTGTGAGCATTATGATTGTGTTACTTTCTTTTAAGCTAAGTTTTGAAAAGATTGAGAAGTCAAGTATAGTATTACTCTGGAAGGAAAGGCAGTCATGCCAAGAACTGGTAAGGTTAGTAGTAGAAAATATTTTCTTTGTACCTACTGCATAGTAAAGCTAATACAATAAAATAGTTTGTCTTCATGGTTGCTTTTTAATTAGAAGCTGACAAACATAGGTAAACTGTGCAGCACTGTAATACAGTAATGCATTCTTTTTTCCTCTTGTGTTATGAATTTGACTTTTTGTAGGGGATTTAAACTTTGATAAATCAGTCTTGAGAAATGCAGGCTGCCGTCTAACTCCTTCTGAAAGGATGCTGAGCATCTCACAAGATCTGATAGACTGTAATAGTTTTTTACCTGTCTGACATACTTCAACAGAAGCAGTTGTCAATAGCCAACACAATCAATGTTAGGAACTCAGTGGTAAGGAGACAAAGCAATTCTTATGGTTCCAGGAATCATTTAGTAATTGCTGCGGCTCTTTACCAGGAGGGTAATGCAGCACTGGAACGTGTTACCCAAAGAGTCTGCACGGGGTCTCCATCCTTGGGAGTTATCCACATTGTACTTAGCAAAGCCCTATCTGGCCCTATCTAGTGTTGCCAACAGATGACCTCCAGAGACCTTTCTTAACCAGAAATTCTGTGATTCTGAGTTATTAAGTAATCAGTGGGACAGCTTGCTCCACTTCTTGGTGAGATCAGATAAATACGTTGACACAAAACCAAAATGGTAGCATCTGCTGCTGCTGTCATTCTTGTCTGAGTGCAGACTGGCTCACGTGGACAGGCCGGCCCTGGTTCCCTCCAACACTCCCTTCTCTCTGCACTTCGGTGGCACTAATGCTCTGAAGTGAAGCCACTAAATATGAAATTTGCAGAACTATTTCACTTGCATCTAGAACTCTTGCCAGGCTGCCTGATACATTTAACAAATAAAGAGTTGTATATCTCTTAAAGTTCGTAAGATAGGACAGGGTAAAGGAGTTGGGTATAGGTAGAAAGATTGGTGTGCGTTATAGACACACCCACATATAAAAGCAACTAGAGCGAGTGAATACACCCTGGTTTATTATTTGGCACATACACCCTGGTTTCATAGCAAAACCACCACCACTGTTACAGCACAGTGAAGCTGACAGGAATGAAAGGAGCCCTTTAATAATCAGGTAGCACCTTGTATCTTTTTCCTTAACACAGTCATGTCTCAGCTGCAATTGTACATGATAACCACGGTTACCTATATATCTACCAGCCAAAGTTTTTGACAAATAGTTAAATTTAGTGTTAAGGCTGTGTGATGTTATCTCAAAATCTTCCATGCTGTCAACTTTAGAAAAACTTAAATCTTTTGGCATATGAAACTCAGCTGTAACGCTATTGCCCCAAAATTGTTGATAACCACAGGAGGTTCTCTCTGCTGTCTGTGATTGTGTTAAGCGTTGGAAGGGAGCAAATCAACAGAGCTGTGATGAAGGATTTAATGAATTTTTCCCATTCGAAGTGGAAGAGGCTTCTAGTGCCTTAGCTTATCTGTGACCTGAAACATATGACGAAAAGCAAACCATGATTTGTACGCATTTTCTTAAATACAGTGCTTAGTAGGCTGCACGTATGACTGGTGAAGCAGGAAGGCCTTTTACTCCCAGGGTTTTAAGCAATGAGGTGGAACATGATAGTGGTACAGAAGTTTTTGGCAAGGCAGAACTTCACGTTAAATCTTGGTCATAAGGGCAGTAAAATTATGAAATTAAAGACGCATGCCTTTATCTTTGTGGATTATGGTTTTTTTCTAAGTATGATGGGTGTAGATAAATTAACTTCAGTGTACCTAAATGTCCTAATTCAACACAGAAAAAGTCATTAGACTCTTGATCTTCAAGAGACTTTTTTGTGCCTTTATCCCACAGAATTCTACACTGTCTTCAGAAGTGTGTGTTGTTGTGGTGTTGGTGCACTGGGTCCTCTAGGATAGAGAGGTGATGGAAGAAAGTACTTTAATTCTGTGTTTCTTCTAAGTTTTGCTGAGGTCTGTTTGTGGAAGGTCACAAGATCTTTCTAATTGATACGGCACATCAGTAAATGGAAACCTTAATTTAGTTTTGTTTATAATACTTACATTTTCTTAGAATATAATGGATGTTAACAAAAGCAAAAAAAAAAAAAAAAGAGCTGGATTTTCTTGCTAAGGACAGCAATGCCCTCATTCTTGTGTGGGTGTAACAAAGTGAAGAATTAAGAGTAAATAATTTTTATTCAGTATTTTAATTAGTTTTCCATATGACTGTCAGAAACCTGTGGTTCTCATACCTGTTGAATCAGGTTTTGAGGCAAGTAAAAGTAGATGAGGTGTTGATTTAAAAAAAAAGAAAACCGGTTTAAAACAACAAGCAGCAAAGCAGATTTTCTTGATATGCCATAAAAGGGGATAAATTCCTACCCATGTCTTTCTCTAAACTCTTCACTATGGCTTTCTGGCATCTTTTTTTTCTTTTTTTTTCTTGTACAAGTATGGGCTTTTACAAATGCCTAACCGAAGACAGCATTTTTATTTGAATTCTGGAACAGCTTCACATTGTTACCACAGTTGCTCAGTTCAGCTTATTACTTTGTCAGTCCTAACTTCGTAAAATTAGGAGTGATAGCACCACTTTACATTTGTCTTTCCCATTAGTTGGTTTTGTTGAGTGTGTGTTGAGGTTGAGTCTTGCAGTTGAAAAAAAATAAGTGTATTGTGCTTTTGATGAAGACAAGCGCAGCAGACAAGGAACGATAAGATTTGTAATTCCTTGTGTTCTTACTGGCTCAATGAATTTCAGTGATTTATAAAGAATTTCCTCAGTTGTGTTTTGTGGGTATTTTTCATTCTCATTGGAAGGGCTTCTTTTTGTGTATTACAGCTTGAAATGCGCTTTCTTCTTTTACTCTTGCTACTTGGTTTCTGTCTGTTTGACAGCCTGTAGCCTTGTCTAGCGTGCTTTTATTTTCTTCAGTCTTGTTCCTTTCAAGGGTATGGAAGATAGTGTTGCAACTCTTGATGGTGATGCTTTGGAGCAGTCTACAGAATTCTGCTGGTTTTGTGGGCTCCATCTTCATTTGCAATTCATGTTCCTCAGCTGTGTGTTGTCTTTTATTTTTTTTACAGAAAGTACTTGGTGTTGTGCCATTCTGTTCCCTCTCTAGTTTTCTTGTTAATTCTTTATCCTTTGAGGATGCCTTGGACAGTCATGGTATTAGTGACATAATTTCTCTCATTTTCCTCAGAGACAGCATATATGTCTTAGTTAAGTACATTTAGAAGTGCATTATCTAGTTTGCATGAAAGTTGTGCTTTGATTTGCATGCGTGCATATGTGAGATACAGTATTTGCAGTACGGTTTCTTCATTATTCATCTGTGGCTTCCTAGGGATAGACAGCGTAGAAAATTTTTATTGTTTCTAAAAAAATTTACAGAACCTGCGCACATATTTTTTCCCAGCCACTTACAGATTTTCCTTATGAGTGTGAGAGAGCGCTGGTAAGGGTGTTTTGTTTGGGGCATGCTTGCCCAGTTGGGACATGAAAAACTGTAGCATTGCAACATCTGACAATAGGAGAGGGACTGATAGGATGTGTGAAATGGTATTGGATTTTAATTTTAGAAGACTTTCTTTTATCCTGCATCATAGGTACCCTAATTTTCTTGAGTCAAAAAGAGATTAGAGTAATACCTAATGAGTAAAAGCAACACAACAAAATATGTCTTATAACTCTGGTTGTGATTTAAGAGAACAGTAGCCCCATACAATGTCAGCTGGAGTGACAGTTTTGGGTGGGTACTTTTCCTTCTTTAAAAGAAGATAGAAAAAGAAACTATTGTGACTTTTGTTTTTTATTTTATTATTCTTACTCACCTTACAAGGAGATGCATCTTATTTAGCATAATATTCTTTAATCATCCATAACTTCTCTCATGTTGCAGTCATTCTTCAACAAACTAGTAAATGTGAAATGATACAGTAGCTTGAAAATCTGATATGTATTTCTGTTTTACCACCACATCTTCCTTCAGATGCAAGTCTGCTTTCCAAATAGAAAACCAGGGTCAGTCTGGAGAAAAGGGCTTTGTTTATGGGCTGTTGTTGCTTAATTTGTATTTAGTTCTACTTCTTTACTTGCACTTAGTTCTTCTGTTTCATCTTTTGTATGAGGTGTCCAGAAGTGGGTTCTTTATCATGTGTTGAACATGCATGCTTGGGAAGGTTTGAAGTGTCCTTACATGTTTTCCAGCTTTTAAAACATAGGGGGTTTCAGAGGACATTATGATGTTTGATATTAAGTTATAGTGTAAACAAATGACATTGTAAAGAATAAGGCTTGTGATTCCTTTGCGTTACCTAGTTGCTAAATTGAGAACTGTAAGTGTGTGTATTTGTTTGATTATTTGGATAAAGGAGCCAAAAATCAAATTAATAAGTATTAATATCAGAGATGGAGGATTAGCTTCACTAAACACTGTGAGAGAAGTTTATCATTCTGTCCCTTCAGAGTGCGAAGGCTGCATGGGCAGCAGCAAGGGCATCTCTTTTTGACAGGCAGTCTCAGGGCACAAGCGTCTCTTCCCCCTGGAGAAGCTGCATTGTGGGGGCTGACCGTTAAATCAATTAGGCTGTCTACTGCCCTTTCTTTATTAATGTTAAAGCGGAGTCTGTGTTAGTGAAGTGTGACAGCTTGACAGCTCTACAGACTGACACTCTGTCTCAATTGACAGAACAGACTCCAGGTTAATACTGGAATTGTTTCA